CTCTTGAGTCGCTGGGATTACAGGCATGTGCCACCACACCCAGCTAATTTTTGTATTTTATGGTAGAGATGGAGGTTTCACTATGTTGGCCAGGCTAGTCTCGAACTCCTAAGCTCAAGTGATCCACCCACCTCAGCCTCCCAAAGTGCTGGGATTACAGGCATGAGCCACCGTGCCTGGCCCCCTATTTTACTTTCTTCTTTAACATATAGTTAGGATGAAAACATGTTGAAGAGATGATGGCATTAGAAAATTACCATTGACCACTATCACAGTAATCATTGCTTTAGGCAAGAATGATCAATAAAAGCTAAAATTAATGGGCAAAAGTATGATGAGAAATAGGATATTCATACAATCTCAAAGTATCTCCCAATAAGATACTTATTAAAAAGGTAAAAATGGTAATTTTCAGTGAAGAAATATGGCAGACACCACGGTAACCAACTGATCAAAGGGAACATTGGCATTAATGGGACAAATCAGCATCACGTTTCTCTTGTCATGAAGCACTGAGAAGGCCACAACATTGCTTCTGAAATATTGCTGACAAAAATACATAACTTGAGTCTAATGATGAGAAAACATTGGAGAAATCCAGACCTTGGAACACGCTACGAAACAACTAACTCATACTCTGAGAAACATATCAGTGGACTGAATTCGAAACAGTGGCTCATGCCTGTAATTTTAACACTTTGGGAGGCCAAGGTAGGCAGATCACTTGAGGCCAACAGTTTGAGACCAGCCTGGGCAACATAGGGAGACCCCATCTATACAAAAAATCGAATAAAATTTATCTGAGTGTGGTGGCATGTGCCTGTAGTCCCATTTACTTGGGAGGCTGAAACAGGAGGCTCCCTTGAGCCCAGAAGTTTGAGGCTGCAGTGATCTGTGATCATTGTCATTGCACTCTACCCTGGGCAACAGAGCAAGACCCTGTCTCTAAAAAAGGAAATTAAAAAAAAAAAGACATGTCAAGGTCATGAAAGACAAAGAAAGAGGAACTGTTTCAAATTAAAGGGGATTAAACATGACAACTAAATGTGACATATGATTCTGAACTGGATCCTGAACCACAGAAAGGATATTAGTGGGCAACTGGCAAAATCTGAATAAAGTTTGTAGATTATAAAAAAACAACAGACAAAAAACATATAGTTAGACCATATTTTCTTTTCTTTTTTTTTTTTTTGAGACGGAGTCTCGCTGTCACCCAGGCTGGAGTGCAGTGGCACCGTCTTGGCTCACTGCAACCTCTGCCTCCTAGGTTCAAGCAATTCTCCTACCTCAGTCTCACGAGTAGCTGGGACTATAGGCGAGTGCCACCACACCTGGGTAATTTTTTTTTTTTAAATTTTTAGTAGAGACGGGGTTTCACCATATTGGCCAGGCTGGAGTTAGACCGTACTTTCTAACCAGCCTTCTTTGCAGTTTGGTGGGGCTTTGTGACTGAGTTCTGGCCAATGGAACCACTTGGAGGCCTGGCCCAGAACATCTGCCTGTGGATTCTCTCATCTGGCAACTGGATGCCAACACCAAGGGTGATTTTGGAGTCATGTGTTGGAGATGACAAAGCTTTTGTCAGCCAGGTTCCTGAATGACTCCTAGACAACCACGGGATGGACTTTATTTGAGTGAGAAATGCATTCTATTTGAAGATATGGGTTAAGCTACTGAGATTTAAAGGCTTATCTGTTTCAGCATTTGGTTTTACCATACCTAATAACAAAGTCCTTTATAATATGGCCCGGAAGCCTTAATTCTTTGGTAAACCTTCTCTAATCTTGACCTCTTCCTGAACATCCCCTCCACCTACTAGCCTCAGTGGAATTCTGGCTGTCTCGAGACGGGACACCTCTTCTCTTACAGCCGTCCCTGTGGAAGCTGGTCTCACCCTTCTCCTCCCCAGGCTCAGAGGAGCTACAGACTTCTTCTGGATAGCCATTGCCTCCTCCATTGTTCTTCTCCCTCACGGCAAATCTTTTCTCCTTAGAAATGTGTACCAGCCATGTTGCTGTCTTTCCTCCCCTTCCACTGTTCTCATCTGACTCATCCACCATCGCCCCTGGGTTTTGCCAGCTGGCTCCCACCTTCCTTTCTCCTAAGGTTGGTGCCACTCCAGATACCTGTTTTTTACCAGCAGCTAGGCGCTCAGGAGGTCTTGGTCACACATGTACCTGGTACCTGTTTTCCTGATCCCTACAGCAGCTTTTCCAAACCATCCCCCTTCCTCCCGACCTCTTTCCTCACTGATGGCCTTGCCTTCCATTTCACTGAGAAAGTTGAAGCACTCCGGGTTGAATCCCCTCAACTTCCTGTCCTGCTCTGCACTCTACCTCCTTCCTTTCGGTCTCAGAGTCACGCTGACGCTCTCCCATGGCTCCCAAGGCAGCTCTAAGAAAGCTGTTCTGTTGGATGACACCTCTGTCCCTCTTTCTCCTAAAAGTTTTAGCCTCTTTCCACTAGCAATTAAAATACAGTCAAATATCTTTCCTTGAATAACAACAACAGCATTCCTGGAAAGAAGCATCTACATTCATTTCCTCATTCCCTGTTCATATTTTCATCCACTGTAATCTGGATTTTTGTCCCATCTCCTAAAATTGCTCTGGCAAAGGAAACTACATTTTCTTCATGACCAGATCGGAAGGTCTCTTTTTAATTTTATTATGCACTTACTTATTTTAGTTTCTTATCTTTTTTTGTTTTTGTAGAGATGGGGGTCTCACTTTGTTGCCCAGGCTGGTCTCAAACTCCTGGCCTCAAGCAATCCTCCTGCCTTGGCCTCCTAAAGTGCTGGGATTACAGGTGTGAGCCACCACTCCTGACTCAAAAGCTTCTTTTTAATTCTCATCTTCCTTGCCTTCTCTTCAACATTTGATACCGCTGACCTCTTCTTCTTAAGGATGGTCACTCCTGTCCTGTTCTCAGCCTCTTTAGTGGATCCTTGGTCTTCTATCCCAACTTTCAGCCTTAGTGCAACATAAGGTTCTGGTTCTATTTTTGACCTCTTCCCTTCTTCCCTCCCTCCCCTTTTCCCCTCCCTCCCTACCTCTGTCTTTCCCCTTGCCTCCTCCTCACTTCCACTCTGCATAAGGCATTCCCAGGGGTTTCATGTCACACTTTTTTTTTTTTTTTTGGGACGGAGTTTTGCTCTTGTTGCCCAGGCTGGGGTGCAATGGCATGATCTCGGCTCACTGCAACCTCTGTCTCCCAGGTTCAAGTGATTCTCCTGCCTCAGCCTTCTGAGTAGTTGGGATTACAGGCATGTGCCACCACACCTGGTTAATTTTTTTGTGTTTTCAGTAGAGATGAGGTTTCTCCATGTTGGTCATGAGTTGAGTTCTCTCGACTCTCAAATCACTCAGATTATCTGCCTGCCTCGGCCTCCCAAAGTGCTGGGATTACAGGCATGAGCCACCGTGCCCAGCCTCATGTCACATTTTATATTGGCTCACAATTTGAGTCAGCAGCTTATCTCTCCGAGCTCCATATCACAATATCCATGTTCCTGCTGGCACTTGCCACATGGTGCAAGTTCCATGGGCACTTCAAGCTCAGTGCATGTAAAACTGAGCTCATTGTTTACCCCCATCTCTTTCTGTATTTCTAGTGATAACCACCTGGAAACCCATAAGCCAGAAACTTGGAGTCATCCTAGACAGCTCTTCTTCACGGATCCACATTGTATAACTAGTGGCAAAGTCCTGCACTTCCTGTATTTGTAACATTTTTCCATATCTCTCAGCTTCGCAGCTGTGACCCCTGCAGGCTCTCTAGTGTAAAGCCTGCAGGGATCTCCTAACCAGCGCTCCTGCCTTCAGTCTTGCTGATGCCTTACTGCCACTGAGTCATCTTTCTAAATAACAAAGCTCTGTCACTCCCCAGCCCAAGCCCTTTAGAGGCTCCCTGTTGCCTGCAAGACAAAGTTCCAGCTCTCCGGCAGGGATTATGAAGCCTTCCCGTGGCTTGCTCCTGCCCACCTTATCTTTCCCTAGATGCCTGCCCTCCTCAGCACCTTGCTCTTCTCCAAAGTCCCTGTACACTTTCACACCTCTGCTGCTTTGTCTTACTTTCCCTCCGCCTGGGATATCCTCCCCTCCCCTGCCTGCCTAGTGACCAGCACTTAACTTTTGAGACAGTTCAGGAAGAACTTCTTCTAGAAGATGTTTTCTGATTGCTTTTGTAGAGTAAAATTGCCCCCTCCTTCCTCTGAGACGACACTGCACTCATGATAGAAGCCAGGGTGGGTGTGGGAGGAGCATGATAGGGCACTCTGTGACTTGGCACCTCGCCTCCGCATTGTGCATCTTGAGGCTGCGGCCCTGTCTTTCACTTCTGGATGCCTGGTGCCTCACACAGTGTCTGACACCTGGCGGGTACTCAGTAAACCTTTACAGTCGGTGCTGAGTGGGAAGGTGGGTATATGGGATGCCCTGGAAGGATTTTGATTTCCAACCACAGAAAAGCCTTGGGCCGAGAATGGGGGGCTGTGAGACTTTATTTACTCAGAGAAAAGGGTCCTTTCCCTTGCCTCACCAACTGCTTCTTGAGGACCCCTTCTTGCTCTTTGGTGGGTGCCAGGCAGGCAGGGAGGCAGTGGGAGGCTCTCCTGCAGGCAGAGTGACTGTTACTGGGGAGACTCTTCTTCCAGCCGCAGCTGAAGGAAAACACCTGCAGGAGAAGGGTGAGCTGAGCTGCAAGAGCTGCACTGAGATGGCAGGAGTTCGATGGACACTCTGAGCATTTGGCTCCAAATTACCCATTACCTGGGTCTTGTCCTTTTGTTACAGGTTGGATAACTCATACACAGAAAAAAAAATCCTAGTTCTGCTCTGCCTCACTTCATCTGTGTCCCCAGTAGGTGCCCTATCCCTCCCCTAAAGAAGCTGGACTGCAGCTTGGGAAGAATCCTTGGCATCTTTCCTTCCTCCTGTTTGTTCTGGGGGTGGGTGGTGGCAGGACAGGGCCTGGGGCTGGGCTGGGGGCTCCTTTACCTGAGGACTTGGTGTAAACTGTCTGCTGGTCTCTGCTGTGGGCGATGCAGGACATGTAAAGCTTCTGGTCCTCAATCTTTCCCACTTCGATGTCCATTACAACCAGAGAGCTCATGGGGATCAAGCTGGGAGAGGAGGCAGCTTAGCCCATCTTTCATGTGAACCTGGCTCCCCATCCCTTCACTCTCTGTGTCCTCTTCCCTCTCTTCATCCCTCCCTGCCTTGAGGACTCTTAGGTGGCCCTGGGCTCACGGCCTTTTTGTCAGCTCCCAAAGTTGGACAGCAGAGGCTGTGTCCTGGCCAGGGACTAGAGGAACTGCTTGGGAGTGGGCTGGGGAAGGAGAGTGGCAGGCAGGGCTCCCACACCCCATTTGCTGAGGATGGCCACCCCCAGGGATGAAAAGGGCTATGACTTTGGTCAATGCCCCGAAGGCCCGTACTTACTTTTTGAACCTGATGTTGAAGCTTAGTGTGAACACCCCCTCTCCAGCCAGGAAGGCAGTTTTAGAAAAGGTCTCATCCATCATGGCTGCCAGGGACCCGCTGTGGGTAAACCTGGGGGTGGGGGTAAGGTGAGGAGCAAGGCCTGGGCTGGGGCCACTGGGCAGACCCCCTCACTGGGCCTTCCCTCCCTCTTGTGGCGACCCTACCTCTCCCTTTCCCTAGACCCTTCCAAACATAGACCTTCAGCCTCAGGGCAGCCAAATAGGAAAGAAGGAAACAGGTGCATCCCATCTGATCAGACCCATCAAAATCAACTAAGCTTTTCTGGTTTGCTTCAGCATGCTTTTGTAGCCACTGACACTCCATCAGGGAAAATTTTTTTTTCTGATAAAGTTAATAGAAAACATTTTTCTGATTCATTACCTAATTGCTGGCAACAACTGCCATAATTTGGAAGGATGGACATATACAGGAAATGAAAAAGTCCCTGAACTTTGTGACTCAGTCTTTGAGGCACAACCCTGGGCTGTTTCTCACCTTACCAGTCACTACAGCCAGTGCGGGGCCCACATCTCAAGATAAGTAAATGTGAAACATAACTTATGACCTATCAAGGGCTGGCATGACACACTTCTGTGCAGCATTGCCACAGAAAGCAGAGAGCCCACTTCAGCAGGCTCAATGCTGAAATTGAGCTGAAATGCTGAAATGGCGCAGATATTTGCTTTATTCAGAATGCACAGAATGGCTGGTCACAGTGGCTCACGCCTGTAATCCCAGCACTTTGGGAGGCCGAGGTAGTCGGATCACTTGAGGTCAGGAGTTCGAGACCAGCTTGGCCAATATGGTGAAACTCTGTCTCTACTAAAAAATACAAAAATTAGATGGGTGTGGTGGCAAATGCCTGTAACTCAGCTACTCGAGAGGCTGAGACATGAGAATCGCTTGAACCTGGTGGATGGAGGTTGCAGTGAGCTGAGATTGCGCCACTGCACTCCAGTCTGGGCAACAGATCAAGACTTTGTCTCAAAATAAAACAAACAAACAAAAACAAAAACCCATAAAATGTTCATTCTTGCTTATGCAAGCTTCATGTCAGCTACTTCATGGTTGGCTAATTTGGGGAAAATAGAAAGGCACCCAATTTTAGAATTCAATTAACATCAAACAGATTTGAGTCTCTGATTTTCAAAAGCACAGTCCCAATTCTCCACAGAGCCAGATCAGCTGTGCACACTGTACTGCCATGGGTTACCCTCCCGCTCCTGTGACCAGTGGCTTTTCCAGACCCTTCCCTCCCTGCGTCTTCGGTCTGTACCCACCCAGTTGGACTCCTTGTCCCACAGCTCACTACCTGTTTGTCTTGAGCAAATTGCTAAACCTTTCTGAGCCTTAGTTTTTCCACCATGAATTTCACAATTCCGATCTCAGCGGATTAAATAAACAAATGTTTGCAAATGTAATTTACACACTTCTTTTTTTTTTTTTTGGAGATGGAGTCTCGCTCTGTCACCCAGGCTGGAGTGCAGTGGTGCGATCTCGGTTCACTGCAACCACCACCTTCCAGGTTCAAGCGATTCTCTCGCCTCAGCCTCCCAAGTAGCTGGGATTATAGGCGCTTGCCACCACGCCCGGCTGATTTTTGTATTTTTAGTAGAGACGGGGTTTCGCAATGTTGGCCAGGCTCGTCTCAAACTCCTGACCCCAGGTGATCCGCCTGCCTCGGCCTCCCAAAGTGCTGGGATTACAGGCTTCTTAAGCACTTCCCTCTCTGCCTCCCAAATTGCTTGAAAGAGGGTGAAAAGAGTTGGTGTCAAAGGACACGTTGTCCTCACTGGCCAACCTGGGGACCCATTGGCTAGTATGTGGATCTACAGAGTAGCTCTTGGCCAGCAAGTAACTCCTCCTTCCCACTCCCCATGGTCTAGGGGCCTCGTGGATACTAATCTCTTCTCTAGACCCCCAACCCCTCAATCCACTGACTAGCCTCAGTGTTGGATGGTCCTCCTCTGCCTCTTTGGCCTCACCTCCATCAGCTCCTAAATAAAAGTCAGCCATGCTTCAGCCATGCTTCAGAAGGAAGGGAGTCCATGGCCTGGACAAGACTTTGAACAATTCATAGTATCTGCACATCCTATGGCCAAAGTGACTGAAGGCTGCAGTTGGCATCCACAGCCTCTGGAGGCCCTCAGCCTCTGGAGGCCCTGACATCTATTTAGCACTCTGGATTCTATTTAACCCCAGTTTAGCCCCTGTCAGGCTTCAGGACCCTAAAGCCACTCCTGCCCTCTCTTGTCTCTCTTTCCCTTGCAGGAGCTCCAGCACCACCTCCAGCCTTCAGTGACCATCTGGAGCAGGCATAGGGATAGAGGATAAGGGGGACAACCATGGAGTGGAAAGTGGAGTGGAGAAAACAGTGGACTTGGAATCTCACCTGCCAGATCCGACTGTCCTGGATCTAACTTTGATTGCAGTGCTGCCTTGGGCAAGTTACTTTAGCTGTGTGCACCTCCATTTCCCCATGGGTAGAACATGGGTTTTGGATAGAAGTGTCTGATAGCTATACTGTGCTTTATGGTTCACGAGCATGCACACATAGGCCCATAATATCATATCTCTGGTCATCCTGGCAGGTAGATATTATTGCCCCAGGTTTCAGGTAAGAAGACTAAAGACCAGCGGTCAAATTGCTTGCTCGGAGTCCCACAGCCAGCAGCAGCCGAGCAGGACAGGAAGTCAGAGTCTAGAGTCCAGATCTTGCCCTCTTCCAAGTGTACCACATTCTTCTCAAAGTGGCCTCTCAGGTCTTTTGTCTGGAAAATTTTGAGACTTTGATGAGGAGCCCTTATCTGCACACTGGGGATTAGGCCAGATAACCCTGTGTGTCCTTCTAGGCCTGGTATTGTGAGGCTGAAGCCCAGTGCCCCACACTCTCATCCTCCCCGCTTAGAGAAAGACGGAGTCTCCAGTGCCAGCCTGATGGATGCTGAACCTGCCCTGCTGAGTCAAGCCCAGGAGGCAGCCAAGGTCCTACCAGTGACCTTACCCTGGGGGCCCCTCCAGGTAGGGGCCTGGTTGGAAAAGACAGACCGACTTCTTCTTGGATGGCTGGAAAAAGATGACATACTCAAAGCCTTGTCCTTCCACTTGGATGCACCTGGTGAAGATGCGACAGTCACCCTTGTCTGGGGAGAGATGGGCAGTGTCGCAGCCGGAGAAGGGAGGGCATGGTCAGGATACAGCACCATTTGGTTGAGTCTTGCCTCTGGTACAAGATTAAGGAGAGAAAACCAGAGCACACTGAAGGGGTGGCCTGCCCCTCCACACCTGTGGGCGTTTCTCGTTTGGTGGAACGAGAGACTTGAGAAAAGAAATGAGACACAGACAAAGTATAGAGAAAGAAAACTAGGCCCAGGGGACCAGCGCTCAGCATACAGAGGACCCGCGCCAGCACTGGTCTCCGAGTTCCCTCAGTATTTATTGATCATTATCTTTACCATCTTAGAAAAGGGAAGTGGCAGGATAATAGGATCATGGTAGGGAGAAGGTCAGCAGTAAGACATATGAATAAAGATCTCTGGGACAAGAACAAGTTTAAGGAAAAGTGCTGTGCCTTGATATGCATATGCAAACATCTCCAAAACCTTTTTAGTGCATAAAGAGCAGCATTGCCGCTAGCACTTTGCCGGTTTTCTCCTTTGTCTGTAAATAGAACATACAATCGGGTTTTATACGGAGATGTTCCATTGCCCAGGGACAGGCAGGAGACAGATGCTATTCTCTATCTCAACTGCCAAGAGGCCTTCTTTCCTCTTATACTAGTCCTCCTCAGCACAGACCCTTCACGGGTGTCAGGCTGGGGGACGATCAGGTCTTTCCCTTCCCTCGAGGCCATATTTCAGACTCTCACATGGGGAGAAACCTTGGACAATACCTAGCTTTCCTGGGCAGAGGTCCCTGTGACCTTCCGCAGTGCATGTGTCCCTGGGTACTTGAGATTAAGAGAATGGTGATGACTTTTAACCAGCAAGCTGCCTTCAGGCACTTGTTTGACAGAGCACATCCTGCACAGCCCAAAATCCGTTAAACCTTGAGTCACCACAGCACATGTCTCTTTCAAGGACAAGGTTGGGGGTAGGGTCACAGATTAACAGCATCTCAAATACAGAACAAAATGGAGTCTCTTATGTCTACTTCTTTCTATATAGACACAGTAATAGTCTGAACTCTCTTTCTTTTCCCCACAGGACACCAGGTCCACCCCCAGGGAGCCTTCCCTCTGGGAGCAGAGGCACAATTGCTGTCCTCACAGAGCCTTTCCGTCTCGGGGAGAAGCATGCAGGAAGTGCCCTGGCTGAGAATGGAGATAGGATCAGGGCCAGGGCAAGACTTTAAGAGACCATAAGCATTGAAAATTGAAAATGTAATTACTCATGTAACTCACATATAATTCAAAAGAATAATACTAAACAGTAAAATAAGAGCAGAAAATCCATCAAAGTTCTGATTTCTTTCCCAAGACAACTACCACTGCTATATCCTTTTTGGAAGTACCAAATTCTTTTAAAAAAAAATTATGTTGGTATCTCTGCTTTGTTTGTGCCATAAACCCAAGGGTAATCTGTCCCCTGTACCACTCCTTCATCACTAGGCAGGAAGACCACATATATGAGTGAGAGATACACTATGAGGAAGATACACATGCGTGCACGTGCGAGTGTGCACACACACGAAGGTGGAAGCTCTATCATTAGGATCCAATAGGTGTTTCAGAAGTGCTGCTCCAGACCCGGCAAAGCAGGGATGATGTGCAGGGCCTCCAGTGGAAGGGGTGTGGGGTCCAAGGGCTTTCATGGGGTTGGGGCAGAAGGCTTGGAATGAGGCTTGATAGTTAGGGAGGGGCAGTCAGTGAGAAGTCAGGGCGGGAGCTGGGCTGGCTGTCCTCCAGTGGAGACATGCTTGGCTGGGAGCAAAGGTGGGCCCACCAGGGTGTGCTGCTTCAGATGGGAGGAGGGGAACTGGAGACCTGAGAGGACACCCACCGCCTATTACCTGGGGCTGCAGCATGAGGGGTGGAGTTGGACAGCAGGAAGAACTGGGCTGAGAACTGGAAGGCGGTCTGTGAAGTTGCTTCTCAGAGTCTTAGAACACAGGGAAGGGCGGCGGGGATGTGTGTGCTCATGGCCCTATCCTTACCGGAGGAAACTGCCAGTCCAGATGGGAGATTGAGTCCCTAGATGTGGTCTCTGTTAGACTTGAAGGAGGGCAGCTTGATCCAGCCGCTAGACTTGGTCTTCTCTAGAAATTCTTGGTACAGGCGCAGCATGTCCAAACACCAGCTGGCATTGGGAGGAGCATCATCCTTCAAGTCTGTCTTCTCTGGCAAGAATCTTGAGAACTGGGCAGGAAAAATCAGAATGACTAGACAGCCTCCTGGAGTGGGGCTGCTGCGTGGGCTCAGGACCTCTAAACAGCCGCTCCTGGGTGCTGGGGCTTCTCCATCCCTTCTGCCAGAGTATCAATCCAAGGGAAAGGGCCCATCTTCCTTGCAGGGGGTTTGCGGACCCATATGGGTGATGGGGCCCAGGGATGCTAAAGAGCAAGGGAAGGGTGGGCAGGGAGTGGGGCCAGAGATGATGGGCATGCTGCTCGATGTGGTGCATTACCCCTGTTCTGCTGAAAACATGTGAGCAGTTCTTTAAAGTTGACAACTGCTTATGTTAGCCTCACTGTACAGATGGGGAAACTGAGGGAATATGGCCAAGGTTGCCAAGCATGTGAATGTGAGAGCTGGTGGTCACACTAGATGCTGTCTCCTCTGCAGGGCAGGGCCACAGTTGTTGAGGACCACTCTAGCAACCCCCACCTCAGGGGCTACTCCAGCTCTGCATACTGCTGTGGGCCTGCCTGGGCAGGGTGGCTCCTTTGAAACACGTTTGGGCCCCCACAGAGGTGTGGTGACGTAAGGAAGTCCTCTGTAGCATCACCTGCTCACACACCAGTCACAACTGTAGGCAGCATGTGAGCTGCTTGTCAATGCCACAGACAGGGTCCTCTGTCTGGGGATACCTCAGCTTTGCTGCAATAGTCTGAGTCCCACAGGAGGAAAGCGATTTGTTGGTGGCCACACAAGATTCAGAGCCAGATGCAGGTCTCCTGGTGGTTTTAGTTTTGAATGGGGGCTACTTGGTATCCCAGAGCACCTTCTCTTTTCCAAATCAAATTGCTCCTCCGAACACTGCCCACCTGCCCTGGCCATGGGCTGGGAAGAAGAGATTTGGGGTGCTCCTTAAGCCCTAGGCTTCTGGGAAAACACTGCCCATCTGGCTGAGTTGGGAACTCATTTACCATGGAGTCTGTGGAGGATCCAAATGCTGAGGCAGGGTTGAGTCTGGGCAGGATACGGGGGGCCCCAAGAAGGCCTCTGTGGTGGCCAAGTCTTGCTGCCACCTGGAAGCCTCTCCTTATCATGGCCAAGTGCAAGGATCTGGCCCTGCTTGGATGGAGGGTCTTGGCTGACTCCCAAGGAGTGCTTTCAGCTGCACTTGGGGCCACTTCTCTCCCTTCTGTCGCAGGCTTTCTTTCAGAGAGCTAGGCAAGGCTGGGCTGGCGTGTTGCAACACCCACAGATGCTCAGCGCCTTTAACTGGTCTAAGAGCCCCACCCAGTGCTTGGGGAGGGGCAGATGCTGCTTGGGCATGAAAAGGCAGCAGGACTGGCTTGAGTTGCAAAAGGAGTAAACAAGTACATAAACAAATAGTATGGGGTATATAGAGCCTTGGAGAGCTGCCTGGCGGTTCTGAGGGAAAATCCAAGAATATTTCCAGAAGGATAAGGGAAGCCTGTCCCTTGATTGGAGGGTGCTGGTGGAGTGTTTGTGGTATGTGCTCTGCAGTGTATACCAGACTGAAAACTCTGGTATGATTTTGTGACTCAGAAAACCAACTCACAGCCTTAGACACCTCTTTTGCGTGTGTATGTGTGTGTGTGTGAGAGAGAGAAAGAGAGAGAGAGAGACACGGAGTTTTGCTCTTGTCGCCCAGGCTGGAGAGCAATGGCACAATCTCAGCTCACTGCAACCCCCGCCTCCGGGTTCAAGTGATTCTCCTGCCTCAGCCTCCAGAGTAGCTGGGATTATAGGCACATACCACCACACCCAGCTAATTTTTGTAATTTTTTTTTTTTACTAGAGATGGGGTTTTGCCATGTTAGCCAGAGTGGTCTTGAACTCTTGACCTTAGGTGATCTGCCCACCTCAGCCTCCCAAAGTGTTGGGATTACAAGCGTGAGCCACCGCACCCGGCCAACACCTCTTCTTATATCCCAGACAAGGGTTAGCACAGGAGAGTCTCACCTGCTGGTCTCTGGCTGGGGATAGGAGTTGGGGTGGGGGAGGGCTTGATGGGGAGGGCAGAACATAATTTGGGAGGAAACAACTTGGCAGGTATACTCTGTACTCTCGATTGCTTTGGAACCCCATGCCCAGGAGTGGCTTGATGTCAGCAGGCAGTGCTGGGAGAGTGAGGTGAGTGTCGGCAGTGAGCTTTGTGTGGGGAAGGGGACAGCTCAGCCAACATGCTGTAAAGGTGCGGTGGTCTTTATTTGGTGCGTTGTGTCTTCTATTGATCAATTTAAAACTGCCCCAATTTCCAAATTAAACCGCAGTTTTAGCCCAG